ACACACAGATGCACACAGACAGACACACACACAGACACACAGACACACAGACACACACACACACACACACACACACACACACACACTGCCTCCTACCATATGATGGTCTGCAAAATGATGTCCTGTGGTTGGCAGGACAGAATGAGTGAATAGCAAGGCTTCATGGAGTTGATGTGGTTCCTCAAAACCAAAACACCCAGAGTCTTAGAAGCCACACAAGGAACTGTGCAGTGTTTGTAGAAGACCCAGTTACTCAGGTGGCTGCTTAAGCAAAGGAGAGACATAGTTACATTTTTTGAAGGCTGTCCTGGATGCACTGTGAATGTGTTAGATGAGGCAACAGGGTCACAGCAAGTCACTTAGGAGACCAGCAGTAACCTAGTTAGTCAACTGCAGCTTCAGTCAGAGTATTGACTCTGGATGGACAGGGATGTTTATTGAAATCCCACTATGTGCAAAGCACTAAGCTAAGTACTAAGATGCAGCCTCAGCCTTCAAAGGAATCATGTTCAAAAAGAGATTATAAGCAAGTTGTTATTATATCTCATAACACAACAATTTAAATAATATTTTATTTATTATTTTTTATTTTGTGTGTATGAATGCCTTGCCTGCACGTATCCAAGTGCATCTGGGTCATGCAATGACTGTGGAGGCCAGAAGACAGCATCATATTTCTCTGGAACTGAGTTACACGCAGTTGTTAGCTGCTGGACCTGGGTCCCTTGCAAGAGTAGCCAGTGTTCTTAACTGCTGAGCCATCACCAGTCCCTCATAACACAAAATTTTAAATAGCACAGTTCTTTTACACCTAGGAAATTCAGGAAGTCACTGTGCCTCAGTTCGTTGCCGTTAGGTCTGGACACTGAGCCATTCTTAATGAATTCCAACTCTATTTCCATTTGTATTCTAGTTTGCATTATTTGTTTGGCGTTATGAGGGGGACACCCACTGAAGGACCAGGTCCAGGTTGATACCCTTCCCAGCATCTGCACTGAATGAATCTTCTCCACACCAATTCCTTCTTGAAACACGAGGCCCAGGATGAATGGCAGCCAGGCACCGAACTTTGTTCTCTTGGGACTGTCCAGTGACCTAGAGAAACGGCAGCTCCTGTTCAGCATCTTCCTGACACTGTACTTTCTGGGTCTCCTGGGGAATCTGATACTTCTGCTGGCCATTAGAGCAGACGTCCACCTCCACACCCCCATGTACTTCTTCCTCAGCCAGCTCTCTTTGGTGGATCTTTGCTTCATCACTACCGCAGCCCCTAAGATGCTAGAGACTCTGTGGACCGCCGATGGATCCATCTCATTCTCTGGATGTCTGACCCAGTTGTATTTCTTTGCTGTTTTTGCCGATATGGACAACCTGCTTCTGGCAGTCATGGCTATTGACCGCTATGCTGCCGTCTGCCATCCCCTGCACTACCCACTTCTAATGACATCTGGTAGATGTGGGGTGCTGGTCAGGGGGTCATGGGGAGTGGCCTACTGAGTCTCTGTGGTACATAACTTGTTGCTGTCCCAGTTATCTTTCCATACTGATCAAGAGATACCTCATTTTTTCTTTGATTTTGGCCCACTCTTGTGGTTTTCCTGCTCTGATGCCCAGCTCAATGAGGGCCTGATGATGGCTCTGGCTGGGGTCTTAGGAATTAGCGCACTTCTTTGCATTGTTAGTTCTTATGGTCATATCTTCCACGCTGTGGCTAGGGTTCCATCAGCATAGGGGAAAAAGAAAGCCCTGGCCACCTGCGGCTCTCACCTCTCTATGGTCACCCTCCTCTACAGCACCGTTTTCGCTACCTATCTGAAGCCCCCAACCAGTTCTCATTCTTCTGGGGGACTGGTGGCTGCTGTCATGTACACGCTGGTAACTCCTGATCTGGACCCCTTCATTTACAGTCTGAGAACTAAGG